TCAGAATCGCTTTGTTCTCCAGAATGTCACAGCACATTTCTTGAGAAATAAAGAACCACATTTCTTTTTTTTTTTTTTTTTGAGACAGAGTTTCGCTCTTGTTACCAAGGCTGGAGTGCAATGGCGTGATCTCGGCTCACTGCAACCTCCGCCTCCTGGGTTCAGGCAATTCTCCTGCCTCAGCCTCCTGAGTAACTGGGACTATAGGCACGCGCCACCATGCCCAGCTAATTTTTTGTATTTTTAGTAGAGACGGGGTTTCACCATATTGATCAGGATGGTCTTGATCTCTTGACCTCGTGATCCACCTGCCTCAGCCTCCCAAAGTGCTGGGATTACAGATGTGAGCCACTGCGCCCGGCCCCAGAACCACATTTTTGAGCCTAGATCTGTCCTTGGTCTCCTGTGTCGGTTTTGTGTGTTTTAGACTCCAGCTGACATTGGAGAGACTGCCTAAGGCTATTATGAATTCTGTGGAAATGCCTTTAGAAAGGCTTGAGACTCAGGTGTCTCTCTCTTCTTTCCCCCCAGACGATTGCCTACAGCATTTTATGGGACTTGAAGTTTTTGATGAGGTATGTGCATTCTGGCTGGTGAGTTTTAGTATACGCTCCTCATGTAGGCTGAGCATTGCAAATCCAAAGTCTGAAATGCTCCAAAACGGGAAAAATCTTTTTTTTATTTTATTTGACTCCATCTTGCTTCTAAAAATCTTGGGCACCAACATGATGCTCAAAGGAAGTGCTCGTTGGAGCGTTTCAGGTTTTGGATTTTCAGATTTGGGATGCTCAACCGATAAGTATATAAATATATCAAAATCTGAAACACTTTGGGTCCCAAGCGTTTCAGGTTAGGGATACTCAATCTGTATTTCTAAACTCAGTTGACATCTTTGGGTCAAAACCAAGCTTGTCTAGCCTGTGGTCCACGGGCAGAACGTGGTCCAACACAAACTCATAAACTTTCTTATAACCTTATGAGAGTTTTTGCGACTTTTACATTTTATTTTTTTAGCTCATCAGCTATCATTAGTATTAGTGTATTTTATGTGTGGCCAAGCGATTCTTCCAGTGTGGCCCAGGGAAGCCAAAATATTGGCTCTCTGGTCTGAACTGTGCCTCTTAGAAGCAGGTTCTGAAGAGGATGCTGCAGAGCCCCTAGAATAGTAGTGACTGAAGCCATCTCTTCTGCCCCTTATTTCATGGGCGTGGGGACTCAGGATCTGAGTGGAGGACATGGCTGCCCATGGGGACCCAGCTGGTCAACAAACACTGAAGCTGTGACTTGGTTCTGCGTGGGTTCAGGTAGCCCATCGCTGTCAAGTTGTAAAGACACCTCTGTCTCTTGAGCTATGTAAGGTTTTACCTGGGTGTAACTCCAGAGTCTGAGGTCCTGTGCACATGCCTACCTGGTCCTGCTTCGCAGATTGCTGGGTTTGGAGAAAGGGAAGTAAAGACCTTCCTATATGCGCACCAAGTTCTCCCTGCACCTGGTCTGACAGGCAGGCCAGATCCTGGTGAGGCTTCGCTTCAGCCTGCGTATCTGTTCCTCAGGAACCTGGCCCTAGGAGGAGGCCTGTTGCTGCTCCTGGCAGAATCTCGTTCTGAAGGGAAGAGCATGTTCGCGGGCGTCCCCACCATGCGTGAGAGCTCCCCCAAACAGTACATGCAGCTCGGAGGCAGGGTCTTGCTGGTTCTGATGTTCATGACCCTCCTTCACTTGGACGCCAGCTTCTTTTCTGTAAGTATTCCCGCTTGCCTGAATGGGTCTGGTTTCTTGTTCTACTAGAGAGAATGCTGTCCCTGTCCACCCCTCCCTGGTTGGGTACTAACCACAGCCTGGGGGAGCCGCTCAAATGGAGCAAACCTTTTGGTCCCATTAAAACAGATCAAAAAAATCGTCACTCCCTTGTGTGTCAAGCCTTCTTTCCAGCAAGTGAAGGCCAGAGCCTCTAACCTTGGTGGAGCGTGCTTGGTTCTTGGTTGGCCAAGGCTCTCCACCCAAGCTCCTCTTACTCTTCTTTCTCTCCTCACTGTTCACATCTTTCTCAAGTAATTCCTGCGTGCCAGGTGTCAGGGACAGGCCTCCAGAAGCTTCCAGAACACATCTCCAGTAATAACTGAGAGCCTCAGCCAGGCAGTGTCCAGGAAGGGTTCCTGGTGCCATGGGCAGAGGAGAGGATGTTTCTGGCTTGGATGTCTGGGTGGACCAAGAAGCACGTGGGAATTTATTTATGGATTAAAGCTGCGTCTTAGTAAATCACAGCCTGTTAATAGTTGGGGACTTTAATCTTCCCCAAACCTTCCACATTTCAAAGCTGGTACTTTTGCCTCCTGCCTCCTCCCATCTTTTGTCGCCCTACTTGTACCAGCAGCCATCTCAGCAGTAGCCACATCAGCCTGATAGATAGAGACTTCCATGACACGCCGCCACTTGAACTTTTGTTCATAAAGCATCTCTCTTCTCCTCACGTTTATTTTGAATTTCTTACGTTTCAACCTATGCAGATTGTCCAGAACATCGTGGGCACGGCTCTGATGATTTTAGTGGCCATTGGTTTCAAAACCAAGCTGGCTGCTTTGACTCTTGTTGTCTGGCTCTTTGCCATCAACGTGTATTTCAACGCCTTCTGGACCATTCCAGTCTACAAGCCCATGCATGACTTCCTGAAATACGACTTCTTCCAGACCATGTCGGTGATCGGGGGCTTGCTCCTGGTGGTGGCCCTGGGCCCTGGGGGTGTCTCCATGGATGAGAAGAAGAAGGAGTGGTAACCGTCACAGATCCCTACCTGCCTGGCTAAGACCCGCGGCCGTCGAGGACTGGTTCGGGGTGGATTCAACAAAACTGCCAGCTTTTATGTATCCTCTTCCCTTCCCCTACCTTGGTAAAGGCACAGATGTTTTGAGAACTTTATTTGCAGAGACACCTGAGAATTGATGGCTCAGTCTGCTCTGGAGCCAGTCTGGCGTCTGGCCCTTCAGCGCTGGTCAGCCTGATGGTTAGAAGCCTCCCCCATGCTGAGGCTTTGGGGTGAGCGGCTCACCTGGCTGCGGCAGCTCAGTCCTATTTTTCAGTTTCTTTTTTGAGGGGGTCCAGAAGGGGGCCTTCAAGCTGTACTGTGAGCAGACACATTTCTATATCATTCAAAGCAGTCTCCCTCTTATTTTTAAGTTTACATTTTTAGCGCAAACTACTAAATGATTTTGGATGGTTCAGCCAAACCTCAAACAGTTATCCCTGGTTTAAAATCACACCAGTGGCTTCAATGTTGTTTCTGCCGCTGCATTGTAATATTTTCTAGAACAGTGAAAACATTTAGGGACACCCAAAGAATGCTGCAGTATTAGAAGGGTGGTGGAAGCTGCTGTTTATGATAAAAGTCATCGGTCAGAAAATCAGCTTGGATTGGCACTAGGTGTTTTACTGGGTAACACCCTGGGAGCTTTAGTAGCTTGAGGCAAGGACGAGAGGCAAGAAGTTCTTGGGGAAGCTGCTGGTCTGGGTGCTGCGGGCCTTGGACTTGGCAGTGGGGAAGGCTAGTCAAGAGACTGCACACAGGGTGGCCCCAGCAGCAGCGCCCTGCAAGCCAGGCTGACTAGCTGCTCCTTAGACCAGCTTGGGGAGCGGCAGCTGCTGTGGGCGGAGGGTGTGGCGGGAGCTCCCAGCACTGGAGACCCACAGACTCAACCCAGTTACCTCACATGGGGCCTTTCCTGAGCAAGGTCTCGAAAGCGCAGGCCGCCCTGGCCCAGCAGCACCACCCTTTTCCAGGCTGCACTCGCCCTGTGGGCAGCCCTGACACACCACTTTCCCAAGGCTGTTGCTCACTCAGATTCTGTCCGTTTGCTGTGCTGAATGCAGCCAAAATTCCTTTTTACAATTTGTGATGCCTTACCGATTTGATCTTAATCCTGTATTTAAAGTTTTCTAACACTGCCTTATACTGTGTTTCTCTTTTTGGGGGGTTTAACTGCTTGTTGCTCCCTGTCACCTGCACCATAGTGAATGCCACAAGGGTGGTCAAACCTCTCTCTGGCCCCTAGACCTATCTGGGGGACAGGCTGCTGCGGTCCAGCCCCGAGCCAGCCTCCAGCTTGGCCTTTTGTTCGTTGGCTCTGCAGGGCAGGGGTGAGGCAGATTTCTGCTCGTAAGTGCTTTTGGAAGCCACCTACCCTGAGGAGGAGGCACCTTTTTAACACAACCGAGCTAGTCCCACCCAAGGCGTTGGCAAATCCTCCCCCGGAAGCCCACTTCCTTCTCTCCTAATAGTGGTAAGATCAAGCACTGGCTTCAGTTCTCTTCTCCTGTGATCGTTCCGGTGCGCCCTGCAAGAAGACTGGCTTCCGTCTCAGTGTTCCAGCCTCAGCAGGGCCGTCTCCTGGTCTGTATCGCACTCCCCGTTAGTGCAATATGACAGCCCCATCAAACAACCTTGGCTGAGTCACGGTTTCTCTGTGGTCAAGGTTGGTTGGCTGGTTGGCAGAAAGTAGGGTGGACCAAAGGAGGCCATGTGAGTAGTCAGCACGTTCTACACCAGCAGCACCTCCGCCCTAGTGGGTGTTCCCGTTTCTCCTGGCCCTGGGTGGGCTAGGGCCTCAGACTGGGGGATATGCCTTTGCTAGGAGAGGATAAGTGGGATCTACCAATTGGTTTTGGCAAAATAATTTCTAAGATTTTTTTGCTTTATGTGGGAAACAGATCTAAATCTCATTTTATGCTGTATTTTATATCTTAGTTGTGTTTGAAAAGTTTTGATTTTTGGAAACACATGGAAATAAATAATGGCATTTGTTGTATGCAGTGTGATCCTATGGTGTTGCCCAACCTGGCTGGGGCTCCCCTCGGGATGCCAATGAACAAGCTTGCTTGTTCAGGCTTCTCTGAGGACCACTCAGAAGCCATGTCCAGAGAGAATTTGTCCCTCAGAGGCCCTGCTGCCTCCTGGGTATGGGAGACACACCCCCTCAGCCCTGCCTTAGAGGGTACAAGTGTCATGAGACAAGGTAGACACCAGGGACAGCTGATCATTCACAGGACACGTGGCTTGAGACAGAGTGGGTGAAAATAGCTGAAGGCTTTCTCGAAACTTCTCAGCACGTGCTTTTATTAACCTGGCTGTTTACAGGAGCTGAAGCTCTTAGGTTTGCGGGGATGACTCTTGAACTTCTTTTTCAATGAGCCCAACTGTTTCTGTGGGATAAACAGAATTCTGATTATGGAGCCTTTCTGATCCCATGGAGGAGGATCTCTGGGAGTACAGGGCTATCCCTACCTGCACAGAGCCTCGGAGGTGTTGGTGTGAGATACCTACGGAGGCTTCCTCCACGCGCCCCACCCCCCCAACTTCCTTAACAGCTGCAGGATTAGCCAGGATCAGCAGGGCCTTAGAGGAGCACACTACAGTGCCACACACGCATCAGGACCTTTGACCTCTTCTAGCCCAGGTCCTGCTTATCTACGAAAGGCGAGGAAGTCTCCACTCCTGCCCCGATGGCAAAGGTGGTGGCTAGGAATCGGGTCCCTGTGCCACAGGGGAAAGGACAAACTACAGCTCATAGTCTGAGCGGGGAGGGTGTCCTTACAAACCTTTGGTCTTAACTGTGGTCCACAGAGCCAGTGGTAGGCACTCACAACCTCCTGCCAGCTAGTAGCCTCAGCTTCCATGTTTCATCTCTGTTGTTAGCTTGGAATTTCACTTGTGAAAAAGATTATCGTTTCTTTTTTTTTTTTTTTTTTTTTTTTTTTGAGACAGAGTCTTGCTGTCGCCCAGGCTGGAGTGCAGTGGCACAATCTTAGTCACCACCTCCTGGGTTCAAGCAATTTTCCTGCCTTAGCCTCCCAAGTAGCTGGGATTATAGGCACCTGCCACCATGCTTGGCTAATGTTTGCATTTTTGGTAGAGACAGGGTTTCACCACATTGGCCAGGCCGGTCTCGAACTCCTGAGATCAAGTGATCCACCTGCCTCAGCCTCCCAGGTGCTGGGATTACAGGCTTGGGCCACCATACCCAGCCTCAGTTTTCTTTTTCTAAAGAAATGAAAAACCATCACTAGAGGAAGCCACTGCCACACTGACAGGGTGGAGGTGACAGCTCACCTTCCTGCGCTTCCGGACCACGTCCATCCCCGAGTCCACGTCCATCTCCCTCCTGCCTTCATCAGTGGACTCTTTTGGGGGCTTTGCCTCCTCGTCCTCTTCGTCTGTCAAGAAGTCATCAGTGCCATCCATGTCCTCCGTGTTTCTAAGGTCCTTTCTGGTGAATAGCTCGGCTGGAAGGAACACAGGGATTGGCTGATGGTTATTTTAGGCTGAGTTCACCACCTTCTGTGCAGGGGAACCAGCACCACAGCTTGCTCCCGACAGGAGAGGGTCAGGGCGAGGCAGGGGCTGCTCTGCTTACGTGGGTACAGGTCTGTCATGCTGTCGTCACTCGGGGCTCCCCCCTCATCACTGGACGTGGGCTCCCAGAAGGCTTCCCACGAGTGAGGCCCATCACCGTCCATCCGGTCTTCCCTCTTTCTCCTCCGGTGCACCAGGCATGCCGGGACGTACTCCAGCCCTTGCTTCTGACATTCTTCGTCTGGGAGATAAGCCAGCATACACTGAGTACCTCCACACCCGCTACGGTCTGCTGGCCACCGCTAACCTGTGGGGACTACACTCAGCCAGGGTCCCACAGCCCTACCGCCCTGGACAAAAACCAGAGCAGCTGCTGGGTGCCTTGGCCCTGTTCCTACCAGGCATGCAGGGAGGGTCGTGGGGCAGGGCTGTAGGTGGGAGGCAAGAAGATGGGGCAGGTCTGCTGGGCCTTGACCACTCATCCCAGACCCAGCCAGGCCTGGGAAGCCATGGTTAGGAGGGCACTGAGCAGGCCCAAGGCGAGCCCTGCCCCAGTCAGCCTGGCATGGCATCTCAAAGGCAGCTTGGGCTGGCAGTGATGCCACCCTCTCCCCAGCAGCCCAAAGTCCTCCCTCAGCGCATGGGAGGCCCTGTCCGGGAGGGCGGGGCTCAGTGGAGGTTGGCTGCCTGTCCTTTGCTGCCCCTTAGAGGGTGAGAGGGGAGTTGGGACAAGCCTTCCATGGAAGGACCTCGAGTGTCCACTACTGTCCCCTCATATATTAGAGGGTCAGCTGGGGCTTGCCCTCCAGTCCGGCGCAGCTCCCGCCATCACCCCTCATGCACTGCAGGAGCCCTGCTGGGCCCGGCCGCTGATGTGGTGGCCCATCTCCAGGGCTCCTTCCCTCCTTGTCTCTGCCACCCACCCCCATGGCCACACAGCAGCCTTGGTACCACCACAACTTGCAGGCAGAGCCCCTCACAGCCACGTTCGGACTTCTGTGGACCACTGCCCTGTAGTGACTTCACCGACCCAGTCCCGTCTCAGCTCCACGGTCCGTCATCATAACCACTCTCATGGGGACCCTGTGGCCCCCTGCACTTAGAACCTTCCTGCCCACCCCTGAGCAGCTAACACACTGGCTGGAGAAAGTCCAAGCCCCAGGCTGGCAGCCCTCGTGCCTGCAAGCCCTCTGGGAGGGCCTGCTTTCTGCTCGAGAAACTCTGGTCCTGCCTTCTCAATCCACGCTCAGGCTTGGGGAGGGCTGGGCCACCTCTCACCAGGAAACAGAAGCCAGTGGACTCATCTTCTCATGCGCAGACCAACCCGAATCTGTCCACTCCAGCCTCTGTCCATTTCTCTCTTTAGCTGGACTCCAGAAAGGCCTTCTGGTGACCCAGCACCTGCCTGAGGCTGGGCACTGTCCTTATGGGCTGCAGCCCATGCTCCACTCTAGCCAGGTGTCCCTGCCAAGCTTCGGGTGCCTCACCATAGTTTTGCTGGGGGTCTCCATATCAGCAAATCTATCATTTTTCTGTCCTCATCTTCCCTTCAGGAAAACGGAAGGACTTCTGTCCTTTTCATGGGGCTCAGGACCAGTCCTCTCTCCCTTCTCTAAACCCGCTGGGTGCTTATCCAGCACCGCAGAGCAAGCATCTCCTTCATCCAGCACGGCTGGCCCTGTTTCAAAAGCCCGATGCCTTCCCTAATAAACACCTTTCCTAATACAGCTCAAGCTTCAAACCTTCAAAGGGACTCTGAATTCTCCCCCCAAAACCCACCTTTTCCTGGATGACCGCAACCAAGGGGCCCACCCTTCTCAACCACGCGCACTGTCCATGCAGCCCACACCTGAGGCCTCTCCACACATGCACTGCAGGGATCCTCCCCTGGCCTCTGGGCCGGCCCTGCTGTGCACACTAGCCTGGCCTGTGAACCCACCTCAGCCAACACATTTTTTGCCTCGGACCTCCATGGACCCTGGCCTCCATCTGGGGTGCTATTTCCCCCCAGCCCCACTGCCACCACGTCCCTCCAGCCTCAGCCTGGAGTAAATCCCTCAGGAAACCTCCCAGACCTCCTGTCTCCACAAACCCACCCCTCATCCCTCGCCCAGTTTCTTCCACACCTCACATCACTACGTGCACTCACTCACTCCGGAGACTGCTTCTGGCCCTACACCTGCCCGTACTAGAAGCTGTGGGGTCAGGGGCCCTCATCCCTCTCTTCACTGCGCCAGAAACAGGCATGGTGCATCCACACGGATCGCTGAAGGATGACCTGCCTTCACGCACGCTCCATCCGGGGCAGGGCGGGCATGCATCCAAACGGCGATGCCCTCTGATGGGGGCCCACAGAGACTTACATTTACACAGAGCTCGCTGGTACCGCCGACCCTGGATGTGCCGCAGCACGTGTTCCGGGCACTTGTTGATGTGCCGCAGGGTGAGTTTGCAGAACAACTGGTGCCTACGGAGCAGAGAGACGCAGTTTGCAGGGATAGTTCACAGCAAGGATCCAGACCGGTGGCTGCGTCTTGGACTCATCCCTGGACGGTCTACCCGGGATGGTCCACCATGCGACCTGAGTATTGGGCTTTTTTAAAAGCTCTCGGAGCAATTCCACTCTTTAGCTGGGCAGGGAACTGCTGATCCAGGCCGACGGCGGCCTCTTAATGTTTACTGGAAAAGTAGGCATAGCAGCCTCACTGACTGCTCCAGGATGAGTCCATACAAGGAGGAGGCTCCGCCCGGCCAAGGGCTCAATGAAAGGGAACATCCCATCCGTTTTGACGGTTACTGCCAACCCTAGCTCCCAGCTAAATCAAAGATCCCTTCTGGGGTCAAGAGAAGAACCCAACGCTGTGCACAGCCTCAGCTGACAAAGCACAAGCCCCTACTCTTCTGTGAAGCAGCCACACCCCACAGGACAAACTTCACGTTTACCGAAAAGCAAACGAGCTCACGGAGGGGCCTCACGGGGATCGCAGGTGACTCCAGTATCCGGGTGCCCACCTGGATCCCAAAGCTCCCAGCTCTGAGAGAGTGGGGGCTGCAGCAAGGGCGGAGTCCTCAGAAGGAGGGAACTTTGGAGTTAACCACCCAGAACCTGTCCTCAGCGGACCCCTCGCGGAGATTCCCTTAGAAAAGACTCAGGCACCGGGGGCACCAGCGGAGGGGCTGTCCCTACTGCCCTGGCCTCCCCGCGCCGCCGCGGACCACCTACGGGTTCTTGGTGCTGGGCACGATGTGCGGTTCAAACTCTGCATAGTCGAACGCCGGGGAGGCGCGGACCAGCCGCTGGTACTTCTTGCCGCGGGTGTAGACCTGGAGCTCCGGCAGGCGGCAGGGCAGCTCGTGACCCGTCAGGATGCACCTCACCTGCAGGGGCGGCGGCCGGTCGCGAGGGCCCAGGCTCCCGCCCTGCCCGCTTCCCGGTGCCCCCTCCAGCCGCGCCCCCTCCTCCCCACCCCTCCCCTCCCCTCTGGCTTCCTCTCTCCCCTGCCCTCCGCTCAGCCCCTCGTCCTAACTGTACCCTTCTTCCCCACTCCGTTCCCCTCCTGCGCCGCGAACCTTGCGGGCGTCCGGCTGCAGCCGCAGGCTCGGGTGCTCGCGCAGGAAGGCCCGCACCTCGGCGGGCAGCTCGCTCATGGCCCTCCAACAGGCGGAGTAACCCCGCGGACGCCGCTCGCAGCACGTGGAGCCGGGGGCGGGGCTCTGCGCGGGATTCGGCGGCGCCCCGGAAGTAGATGCCTCCCACGTCCCGGAAGCGCCCGCGGGGCTGGATGCGATGGCGGCGGTGGCTGCACTGCAGCTGGGGCTGCGGGCGGCGGGGCTGGGACGGGTGAGCGCGGGGCCCGGAGGACGAGAGGGCGGCGCGGGGAGCGGGGTAGGGACCCAGGGCTCAGCCCGCCCGTCCGTGTCCGCAGGCCCCGGCCAGCGCCGCCTGGAGGAGCGTCCTTGGGGTCTCCCCTCGCCCAGGTGAGGGCCGCAGGCCGGGCTGTGATCCAGGCGCCTCGGTAGAGCCACCTGCCCTCTGCCCTGCACTTTGAAGGGGTGTCGTGGGGATTGAAATGAACCCACTGCCGGCAGAACTGAGGTTCCCTGGGAGTGACAGGTTCCGTATTAAAATGCTTCTAGTGGAACCGTGGTCGTGTACCGGGCATGTAGCAGGCGCTTTGTCCTCACAACAACGCGAGGGGTGGCTCCTTTGTCGTTCCTGTGTTACAGAGAAGGCTCGAGAGTTACTTCCCAACGTCCCTTCCAGCTAATGGGTGGCCAGCCCAGGCTGAAAGCTCAGGGTTTTGAAAGTAAAGGGCATCGAACCACCATGGGTTACGTGTTGCCTCTCTGCAGCACAGGGTACTTTGCCATGTGTAGAGAGTGCTGTGCAAGCCTGCTTCAGGCCTGCCTTTTTATTACTGCTCTTTTTCAGTATCTGCAAGGCCCATGGTGCTTTTCAGCCGATGGGACTCGCCCTCTGAGAGCTTAAAGGCACCTTCTGTGTACATTCTTCCGTGTCGTCACGATTAGTTGTAAAAACTGAACGCTGTTAAGAGCTCTGTGAACCATTACTCTTGAGTCGATATGTTTCTCTGCATAACACAACCACGAGCGCCTGGCTAAGCGACTTAGTAACTAGCCGCTTCTTAAATGCATTTTGAGTGGATGAATGGTGCGTCTTAGTCCAGTGGAATACATCTCAGCATATTCTTGAGTAAAAAGGCGTGAGTTACCCAGGGTCGTAGTTGGTCAAGCCAACACGGAGCCCTAGATCTCACTCAGTCGGCAAGCATACTCAGTGTGTGCCGTGTCCCAGGCACTGGGCTCCTAGTAGGCTCCAGGCAGCAGGTTTTGTTCCCTCCTGTGCCATATTCTCTCAGGCAGTACTGGAGTCTTGTTTGGAACTGGCTGCCCCAGGTCTCTGTTCAAGGGCTTCTGCCTCCGTGTCAGTGTTGTGAAACTTTCTCCAGGGGTGACCTGGAGGCCAAGCAGGTGTGGCAGTTCTGCAGCAGAAGCATCTGCCACAAAAGCAGAAGATGACTCTTTTCTCCGGTGGGTCCTGCTCCTCATCCCCGTGACTGCTTTTGGCTTGGGGACATGGCAGGTAAAGACCCGCACCTGGTGGGGTAACTCTGGGCCCTTGACCCTGCTGCCATCTGCTTGGGCTTAGGTTCTGTCACTGTAGGTCCAGCGTCGGAAGTGGAAGCTGAACCTGATTGCAGAGTTGGAGTCCAGAGTTCTGGCCGAGCCCGTCCCTCTGCCCGCAGAGTAAGTGTGTGGTTGCGCCCCGAGGGCCGATCTCGCTTGAGTTCAACAGCGGAGCCCTGGCTTCTGCTGGGCGGCCTCCCCATCTTGGCAGGACTTACAGTCACTTCCTTCACCTCGGATGAGCGCTGTCAATATCAGTCATCCTGTTGGGCTTGTTGTTGACACCTGACTGCCCTTGTGAAGCTACCTGAGGCCGCCTCCTGACATAGGGAGGAAAGTCTTATTTGGGGTCCTGCGTGTCACTCTTCAGGTGTAGTGAACTTATCCTCCACAGGGCCCAAGGCCCTGTAGGTCTCACCGTGAGGGCAGTCTTTTGAAAGAGTGCCCTAAATGATTTGACTGCCCTCTCCCTAGAATATGCCCTCAGAGACAGGTATATCCAAGTAAATGTTCCATTCAGCGTAGCAGACGGGATGCCAGATTTGGCTTGTGGATGAGGTTTTGGCCCACATGTTTTAAAAATTTCACATGAAGTATGCATTGAGGAGCCCAGATTATTAGCTTCTCTTGTAAAGTTGGACCCTGGGAGTGCAGATTCACACTCCCACGTGGCATCAAAGGGCTGGTTTCCCTTTGGCGAGGAAGCCCTTTACCTTTCTCCTTTCCTTGTCTGGCCCTGGTGGGCTGTGTAGTCTGCCACCCTCATTAGCGGATTCGTTTTCCGGCCAGACTTTGCTCGGGCACTGTTCTTGTCTCCATGCAGCCCAGTGGAACTGAAAAATCTGGAGTATAGGCCAGTGAAAGTCAGGGGATGCTTTGACCACTCCAAGGAGCTGTATATGATGCCCCGGACTATGGTGGACCCTGCCCGGGAGGCCGGCCGCATCTCCTCCTCAGCTGAGACTGGGGCCTGTGTGGTCACTCCCTTCCACTGTGCGGACCTGGGGTGAGTAGGGCATGTGGGAGCTGGCTGTCCTGGCAGAGCCAGTCAGGGTATACTAATTTACATCACTATTTCCTACACAGTCCCTAACCTGGGTAAGACCCCGGGAAACCCAAGATACCCAGAAGATTCAATTCCTTGCGTGGTTGTTAAAATCCTTAATTGTGACATTGACCCACTCAGCCAGCTCATTTATGACTGAACAATTTCTGTGTGTTGACCTCTGAAGGGGAAGGAGGGATTCATGAAACGGGGGCCCCTTCTCTGGAGAAACTCTCTGGTGGCCCACACATTAGATGATGGCAGGGTATGAGGGGGGGTCAACGAGAGGAACTCACGAGAAGGGATCCCAGCCCCACCTTGAGGGAGTGGAATCAGGAATGGCTCCCTAGGAGGCCATTTGGGAGTTAAGAGATGGGAAGAACATTCCAGGCAAAGCAAATGACAGGTACAGGAGCACCTGTGTGATTCACTGAGGAACTGGAGGATTAATGTACAAATGAAAATACCTGGGGCTCTTGTTAGCCCATGGGTTCCGGTTTTAGGCCCGGCATGGTTCGGTCCAAAATGCTCCGTCTCCAGCAGGCTGGAGTGCCAGGGCGTCATTGGAGGCAGCCATTGCTAGTTCAGGGGAGAGGTGTGGGGTCTCAACTCTGGCATGGCAGTGTTGGTCACCAGTTGCACGTTGCAGTGGGAGAGCACAAGGAAAGAAGCAGAGATGGAGGGGAAAGCCACACTGGTAGAAAGTAGTGAGGTGGCAGGGAAGCTTTTACCAACCAAAGGGCCTCGAGAGGAAGACTGTGTGTGGCACTGCCAGGGCTCCACTGAGCCAGTCCTCTTTTAAAAGCCTTCCTTGGTGCTATAGTTGTTCCTATGGGTGCCTGAGTAACCATGAGTGACGGCTTTTATTCAGAAACCCTCCCCACCTAAACAGCACTTTCGTTACCCTAGAATCACCATCCTGGTAAATAGAGGGTTCGTTCCCAGGAAGAAAGTAAATCCTGAAACCCGGCAGAAAGGCCAGGTAAGGGACATGGACCCTTCCTACTTTAGGGAAGGCTCTGGGAGTCAGCCAGGCTCCATGGTCTCTCACCTTCCTTTATAGATTGAGGGAGAAGTGGACCTCGTTGGGACGGTGAGGCTGACAGAAACCAGGAAGCCTTTTGTCCCCGAGAACAATCCAGAAAGGAACCACTGGTATTACCGGGACTTGGAGGCTATGGCCAGAATCACAGGCGCAGAGCCCATCTTCATTGATGCCGACTTCAGTATGTTGTGACCAGCTGACCCCACAAGTAGCTTTTGTGGACTGTCCTTCCTCCTCCTAACCCTCATTATCCAGTCCCTGCTGTGGCATCCATTCTCGCACGTGCGTTATGGGGGACGTGGCAACTCAGCAAAGGGAACCTAGCTAGGCAAGTACTGAGGGGTCAAGGCCAAGGTAAAGGCCACTCAGGATTTCCAATTAAAATGGCAGCCACTAGGAAGTAGTGCAGAGGCTGGCAGACAGCAGAGGGTGGATTTGAGTCAACTGTCTTTGCAGAAAGCACAGTCCCCGGAGGACCCATTGGAGGGCAAACCAGAGTCACTCTGAGGAATGAGCATCTGCAGTACCTCGTCACCTGGTGAGTCCCCGGTGGCCCTCCGGCTCCCTCCACTTCAGCCCAGCAGCGCATTAACACCGATTGCTTTCAACCCCAGGTATGGACTCTCTGCAGCTACATCATACCTATGGATTAAGAAATTTGTACGTGGAACACCTGGTGTGTGAGACCAGCTGCTAAAGCCCTATCGCTGAATAATGACGTATTTGAAAAGCACCTTTATGCTGGATCATGTGCTCTTGAGATAAATAAAAGTTCTGGGCCTTCTACCTTGCACGAGCTCATGCATGACTGGTTGATCATAAAATCCTGACTTTGTTTCATTCAGTTCAAAGAACTTTCCCAAAACTTAACATGAAAACTACGTGTCTAAGGAACAAAATGCCTCGTTTAAGAATGTATAAGTGCAGCAGCTCACTTGAGGTCAAGAGCCGAGACCAGCCTAACATTACAAAACCCCGCCTCTACCCAAAACACAAAACTCAGCCAGGTGTGGGCCTGCAATTCCAGCCACTCAGGGAGTATCTTGAACCTGGGAGGCAAAGGTTGCTGACATCACACCTCTGCACTCCAGCCTGGAAGACAGTGAGGGTCCTACGTTTCAAAAAAAAAAAAAAAAAAAAAGATAGTTGCTAACCCCAAGTATGATTCAACCCAAGATACCAATAGACACTGGCTGAAGGAAACATTTGTATCGTTTAAATTATTTTTATTTACAGCAAACTCTACTATGTACATCATTTCACCCCGAATCACTTTCAGGTTCTTTGGCCTTTGCTTTTTCCAGGCCTGGCCATGTGAGCCACAGACTTGGGACCCAGGACTTTGCCTCCCCAGTGTCGGCGTATCTGAAAAGACAAAAAGAGGGAGTCAGTTTAGCCTCTTGTTTTCTGAGATTTTCAAGGTTATTGCGTCGTTCTGTGGGGCTGTTCCAAGCTGATCGCCACAAACAACTGCTCATACGTTAAGCCAGCCACTTGTTTCGGAAACGATTAGCACGTGACAGTACTGTGTGTGAAGCTGCTCTTACCTCCTCATATCTGTCACTGTTTGTCCTGACAGCTTCCACCACCTTGGCCAAGGCACCTCTGTCTTCCCTAACACGGCAGGAGGGAAAACAAAAGTGGGTTTTTGGCCTCTCAGTTTCCCTTTTAGAATGCATGTCTTCATCTCTAGCTCAAGACAGTCTTTTGCCTCAGATGCAATGTGACCACATGGTTTATTCAGGTGAAGAAATTCTTACCCATCATTGGCAAAAGTTCAGATAGATCTATTTCTTAAATGAAAAGATTGGCCTTTAAGGAAAACAACTGGGACGCATGCATTAAATGCACTGGGGAAGTCTGCGGCCAGGCTGTGTACTCACTCATTAACTTGCGTGAATGCAACAGTGGTGCACGTCTTCCTGTGGACTAGACGTCCCAGTCTTGCCTTCCCCTTGATGACGCAATAAGGGACTCCCATTTTCTGACACAGGGCAGGCAAGAAGACCACCAGCTGGAAGAAAGCATTAGCTGAAGCGTGTATTTGGACCAAAAGCAGGGCATCTCAAAGCTAGCTCGGCAGCAACTGCTCAGGGTGAAAAAGCTCATGGATTTCCACTTCAAGGTTAAATTCAGTGAGAGATTCGCATCACCGCAAGAGCGACGCATTGAGCTGGATCCCTTGGCAGTACTGTCCTCACCCACCCACTTTGGTCTCATCACTGACTCGTCATTAGGCCTACTCTCTTCCCGGTACTGACAGAAGCCCTTGGATTAGCAGTCAACAGGCAAACACACCTCGATGGGATCCGTGTCGTGTGCAATCACCACCAGCTGGGCTTTCTTCTGTTCAACCAACGCAGTGACTGTGTTGATTCCTAGAACACACAATCACTGTGAGCATTCACGGGGCCTGCTCTGGTCACAAGAAGCTGCTGGGCCCAGCTGCTGACTCAGTGTTAAAAAGCTCGCTTTTACTCTTCAGTCATTTCAGGTGAAGAAATTCTACATCACTGCAACAGCTGGCCCCCAGTGTTCACCCTAAGGTGGGGCCCACTCACCCGATCGAAGTACAGGTGGTCTCTTGGTGGGGACGTCCCCTTTGCCAGCAGCTTTCTTCTCGGCACGGGCCAACAGCCTCTGCTGCTTTTCTTGCCGTCTCTCGGGCCTATACTTCTGGGCCAGCTTTAACAGCTCAATAGCTGGGAAAACACTCTTCAGTTTAGGCTTGTAGTCAAGGTTCTACTCCGTATCACTTATATAAATGCTAGATTGCTGTCCCGGTATATAAGGACTCTAATGACAACTGCAGTTCAAGAGACTGAAGGCCACTCACCCTCCTATTCTGGATGAAGTAAGTAATCATTGATTTTAACAAACTCATCAACCTCAAAAGCCCACCCCACCCCCCACCCCCGGAAGCCTGAGATATAAAACTGTCAAGAGTCTCGTCTTTGCCTGAGAAACTCCTTTCCAGGCCACACAACCTCACCTGTTTGGCGGTCCAGGGCCTGGGTGAACTGGTTGATGGCAGGAGGCACTTTCAGCCGCTTGTACAGGATGCTTCTCTGCCGCTGCAACCTGACAGCGGGGCCATTTAACAAAGCGGGTGAGGTCTCTTTTCGGTTGCATGTCCCCTCCTGAGAAATAAAGGGCGACATCGACTGAGTGAGGCTCAAATTCCGTGTCAAGTTCATGTCTGGGGCCACTCAGAAGGGTGTTGGTGCATCAGAGATCTTGGTGGTTTAAAATGTCATCACCATCTTCAGATAGCAAATATTCTTTTACATCATCTGCACACAAACACTTGAGAACGCCAGCGAGAGCACGATGCCCTTCCTAACAAGAAGCCAAGGTGCCACCAACTACAGTAGAATTGCAGTCCGAGGGCCTCGCTGGGACAACACTATTCAACTTGTTTTCGGATGGCCAAGCTGAATCCAAGGCCCCTACCCTATTCAGCCGAACGCTCACTCAGAAACTCCCAACGAAAGCAAGAGATAGGCACCATCACTGCCCGTCTCTAAGGGACACAAGTTGAGGACTGACACCACTTCACACCCCCTAAAACCTGCAAGATCCGACTCAACCCCATTACCACTTTTCCTTGGGAAAAAGACCGTTTTCATCCTGCCGTTTGTTACTCACCAATGCCGAAATTCTTCGGCCTGGGCTCAAACAGGGGATTCGCCACTTTCTCGGCCTCCTGCTTCTTCACAACAGCAGGGCCTGGAGCCATCTTCTTCCCCTTGGCCTTCTCTCCTTTTGGCTGGACAGAAAGAAAATCCCGGTGAAACCGCCGCCTCCTTCGCCGGGAGGTCTCAGGTTGGCTCCTTCAAAACAAGGGGCGCCGACGGCCCCTGTCCCAACCAGCCGGCGAGCTGCGTCCCGAAGTCCCCCAGGGCCACCCCAGCCTGTGCAGCTGCGGCCTTGGCTGCCGGGAACGTCCTCGCCATGCCGCGGCAGGAGCGTCTCCCAACAGCCGCACCAGCACGCAGCCCACGGAACCCCGAGTGGCCGGAGCCCGGCTAAGGCCGACGCCACGCTCTTCGCGTCGCCCACCCAGGAGACGTCCCGGACGGGACTCGGGGCGCCTGAGCCGCGGCCCCGCCAGCTCCAGGAGCAGCAGGTGCGGCTCGGAACTCGTTGGTCAAAGCCTCTGCGGCGGCCCTCAAAAAAACCAGACGCCGCTCGGTAGTTTTCCGAGCGCCTCCGCCCCGTCCGAGCCCCGCACCCGGGCGCTCCCGGCCCTCCTCCTCCAGCCCAGCGGCATCGGGACCCACGCATCCCGCTTCCGGCTGCCCGGGGCTTTAGTCCGTCTCAATGTCTCCGTGCCACACCAGTACGGCTCTCCTAGAGCTAGGCGGAGCAGGAGGCCCTGTGAGGCCGCGCCTAGAGGAGGATGGCAGCGGATAAAGTCGGAACCCGGCTACCGTGTCGCAGAAGGAGACCTCACTCACCATCTTGGTCGGCGGGAAGACAGAGAAAGGAAAGGGAATTCTGGGGAATACGTATGCCGCGGGGAGGATCGCGAGAGTTGATGCCGGCGCGGGATTTCAGATTTAAAGCAACAGGACACCTATAAACCTAAAAAGCCACGCGCGGCGGCGAAGCTACGGCGGCGGACTCGGTTTTCGGACTGCGGAGCGACCGGGAAGACTCCATCTCGGCCGAGAGACTGCGGCGGGCGGGCCCGGCCTGGGGAGAGGCACGGGAAAGTGCGGGTTCCGGAGGCACGTGTCCACACCGCCCCGGGCCGACCCCGCGGACGCGGCGTCTGGTGCGTGGGCGCTGGGTTGGGGGTGAGGGTGTGGTGGCGGCTGGGGACGGAGGTGGGTGGGTGGGCCGTGGGGGCTGGGGTCAGGATCTACTTTACTACGCGTGACTTATTTCCCCCATCCGCCCAAATATGGGCTCGAAGAACGGGAGTGCGCCCAGGAGTCCGCTGGGCCTCGCGCCAGGCCCCGAACCCAGGGGGCCCCAGGCCCTCCCCGAGCACCGTGCGCAAAGACCCGGCCCCAGGGCCAGCAGGGCCAGCGCTGAGGCCGCCCAGTGCGGCTGCAGGGCAGAGGCCGAGAGGCACGCGTCCCGGCGTCCAGAGGAGCCGTGAGGGCTGTTAAGCGAAGGAGTGGAATGACCACTTTTTCTTTTAGAGGCAAGAGTCTCGCCCTGTCACCCAGGCTGGAGTGCAGCGGCGCGACCTCGTCTCTGCAGCCTCCGCCTCCCGGGTTCAAGCGACTCTCTTGTCTCAGTCTCCCGAGTAGCTGGGATTCCATACGCGCGCCACTACGCCCGGCTACTTTTCGTATTTTTGGTACAGACGGGGTTTCACCATGTCGGTCAGGCTGGTCTCGAACTTCTGACCTCTCAGGTGATCGGCCCGCCTCGGCCTCCCAAAGTGCTAGGATTACAGGCGTGAGCCACCGCGGGCCCGGCCAGAATGACCACTTTTTAGGAACTCTTCCCTGCCGCGCGGAAACCGGAGGGAGCTGGGCGCAGTGCAGAGATGAGGTCAGGAGCCGGAGTGGGAGTGGAATGAGTGGACGCAGGCGGTGCAGAGGGGTGGGACTGGAAGGACTCCTCAGATGGGAGGGCGCGGCGAGGGCGGCAGCGGGCTAAGAAGTTCGGCCAGGGCCAGGGCCAGTGCCAGGGAGCTGGAGGTGGGCTTGCAGGCCTTCATGGGGCACGCTGTGGGCCTGGACGTGAAGGATGGACTGGAGCCCTAGACAGGGCTTGGAGGGCTGGCCAGGAGTTCTAGGATGAGCTTGCTTGCTCTGGCAGAGGCGGGGCCGAGGAGAGTCCCGGCACCCACTGCGGTGCCTGCTGATGGAATGAGTTCATCTGTGTTTCAGTGATTGACTTTATTTGGCAGAAAGGGGATCCCCGGAAATCTGGGTGTTCTGCTAAGCTGGGGGCATAGTGGGTGGCCGAGGGCTCTGCCTGCACTCAGGGGTCTGTCCTGCACTCTAGGTCCAGGTCACCGCCCCTGCGCCGCCTGAGGCTCTGCCATGGCCCAGCAGAGAGCCCTGCCCCAGAGCAAGGAGACACTGCTGCAGTCTTACAACAAGCGGCTGAAGGATGACATCAAGTCCGTCATGGACAACTTCACCGAGATCATCAAGACCGCCAAGGTGGGCCGGGGGAATGGGGGTCACAAAGGGAAGCAGGGTCTGGGGAGGGGTGCAGACAGGAGAGGCCAGGGACTGAGCAGTGTGAGTGAATGGTGTTCCAGGCAGGAAACACCGAGCGCACAGGGCGCGGGCCAGCAGCAGATAAGTCAACCAAGTAACGGCACATCCTGCGAAGCAGTGCGGGGGACTCTTGCTGGACTGCCGGGGCCCCGCGTCCATGTGGGTTTGGACATTTCACTTTTTAGTGCCTCAGTTTCTCCTGCATGGTGGGGTCCTGCATTGTTGCGTTTACCTGTGTTAAACAATTACCTCGGGGCTTGGCACAGAGCCAGTGAGCAGGAGACAGGCAGGCCCCTGGGGCAGCACTGGGCCTGCAAGCCTGCTGATGGCTGCAGCTGCACCAGATTGGGCTGTATCCCTTCTGGCTGTGCAGGCCTGGCAGGCTCAGTAAGCAGTGATGTCAGCCTGGAAGCCAGCATGTACTTTGTGCTCGCCATGTGTCAAGCCACGTTGTGCGGCTGTCAGTGCCCGTTCGCTGAATCTTCATGGGGACTCAGAGGTGGCCACCATTGTCCTCTCCATTTTAGGAGGAAACTCAGGCCTCGGAGACATAGTGACTTGCCCAAGCTCACTCGGCTAATAGCTGGCTGAGCCAGATTTGAACCCACGAAGTGTGGCTCTTAACTACTGAGGGTACCTGACACCCACCCTGAGCTGAGCCCTCGAAAGGCCCACTGGAAATCCCCGTTCAGGTTAGCCGAATGCACTGGCTGGGCTCCTGGTCCCTCTGTTCACTGTCGGAGACTCCTTGACTGCACCGGGTGTCCCAGCCTCGCCTGCCCACCTATTAACCAGGGGTGGCAGGCCAGGCTTCTGTGAGAATGTCGTGGGCTAATGGTGGTCAAATGTGTGACACAGTGCTGGCACTTGGGAAGTGATCAGGAAATGGTCGCTGAAAGAAAGAATACATCGTCCCTTCACTCATCCATCTAACGGTTTACCAAATACCAAGCAAGTGAGGACAGTTCCTACCAAACAGAGCTCCCACGGCCCAGAAAGACCCGACCCAGCTAAGACCCCCACCCTGCACCGAGCATGGCAAGCGGCGAGGGTCGGCCTCCGTCTGTCATGAGCAGGGCGCCTGTTGTCTCCCACGGCCAGAACAAGAGAGGGTGGAATTGAACTATCCAGGGGTTTGGCGGCCAGCGCTCAGGTCTGTAGAAGGCACCACAGACAGGTCGTGGCCAGTGTGGGCATCCAGGGCAGAGATGACAGTTACCATCAGCTGGGCCGGGCCGAGCCAGGGCTGGGACACCGTGGCTGGGTGGATTCTAGGTTTTCTCAGTTTGCCCCCAGATTGAGGACGAGACGCAGGTGTCACGGGCCACTCAAGGTGAACAGGACAATTACGAGATGCACGTGCGCGCCGCCAACATCGTGAGTGGCCAGGGTGGGAGGGCACCGCCCAGGCTCCAGGAGCATCAGTCCCTGCTGGGGTTTCCTGGTGGAGAGTCGGGGGCTCTGGGGCCGGTCTGCTTTTCCCCCGAGAAGGAGCAGAAGGAGGCGAATGTAGAGATGCTTTAAAGAATGAGGTGGGGGCAAATCATTTCCCAGGAGACGGTCCGCACGTGGGGCACCTGGAGGAAGGTTGGCAGAGAGCCAGCCATGCCGTCCTGTGGCTGTGCAGGTGCCAGGAAGAGGGCAGCCCTGCCTGCTAACTCACGAGCTCCTAAGGTGAGCTGGGAGTGAAAAGGCAGACAGCCAGACAGAACCGTAGGCACCAGTGGATTCCCTCGGACCGCAGGAGAAACACAGCCAGCAGATACTCCTGCAGCCTCACGTCCGAGGCAGCAAATGCGTGGGAAAAGGTTCCCCAGGAGCCCTGCCCTGCTGGCGGCTGTGATACCCCTACCCGGGGCAGGAGGCAAGAGGGACTGCAGTTTTATCTGTGGGGTTTGCGTTCTTGCTGAGCGGAGTGTGCACCTGCGTCATTGGGCTGGAGGCCGGTCCTGCGAGAGTGGAAGCCAGAGGCTGATGGGAGGGGAGGGCCTGCCTCCGGAACTGCCATCCCAGTTTTCTCACTTCTCACAAGTGAACCTGTGGAGGTCAGGGATAGAGTCCCACTTTGCAGTGAAGCAGAGGCTCCCAGAGAGGCCATCACTTGCCCAGCATCAGCCACCTGCGGCAGGGCCGCCGTCCCCCCTCACCCTGTGCCCGCTCTGGTTCTGATGGCCACAGGTCCGAGCCGGTGAGTCCCTGATGAAGCTGGTGTCCGACCTCAAGCAGTTCCTGATCCTCAACGACTTCCCCTCCGTGAACGAGGCCATCGACCAGCGCAACCAGCAGCTGCGTGCGCTGCAGGAGGAGTGCGACCGGAAGCTCATCACGCTGCGGGACGAGATCTCCATTGACCTCTACGAGCTGGAGGAGGAGTATTACTCGTCCAGGTACAAATAGTGCTGGACACCCCGTGCAGAGTGGGAGCCTGCCTACCTGGGCCTGGCCAGCAGGCAAGGCCGGCCTGACTCTCAAGGGCCTTCTGCTTTTTCAAATCCTTGCTGCTCTTGGCAGTGGAGCCGTGCCTGGGTTTCAGAGCAGAGCTCCTGGCCAGAGCGTTTCATCGACAGACGGTTCACCAGCATCTGCCGGGGCCCTGGGCCTTTCCCACAGTGCAGTGTGATGAAAGCCGCAGGACTCACGCCAGTGGGACAGGCCGAGTCTGGAGAAGGGAGGGCCTGGCCGGCATCCCCTGCAGGGTCTTCCTGAGAGCCTCCCTCCTCGGGCAGTGCCTCTGGGCCAGCGCTGCGCCTGTTAGCGTCTGAATCCATATTCAGAGATTTTGGCCAAGGCTGGGCCAGCCCCTCCTGGGCACTGGAGTCCACGCCTATGTCCAGGGCTTCAGGGATGCAATTCCATGGGGATGTCACCAAACCCCAGTGTGGAGGCAGGGACAGTCATGGGACTGGGGGGGACGAAGCCCAGGCAGGGAATGGCCTTGAAAGCTGTTGGGAGTTCTGATTTCTGACACACTCAGCCTTACCCACAGAGCTGGAGCCAGCCTACGTGCCAGGCCCATGCCGGGCCCCAGGGATGTAAAAGGGTCAAAAGCCATCATCCGGACCCTCTTGGGGCCGCGTTAAGAAGCCGGAAACCTGAAACCTTTTGAGCTGGCCGGGTCTGAGAAATCAGAGTCCACAGGTTTTTACCTAGGGGGAATCTTAGGCTGAGACAGGGAGGCCGTCCTCTCTGCCCCCATTAGCTCAGAAACTCGAGATTCAGTCCAGCAGACGCAGAGTCCGTGTCCGTCTTGTGCCCGCCGCTGGACAAAACTTTCCTTCCTGGTGGGGGACTGAAAATGCCCCTTTCTGCCCAGTGGCCACGCTGGGAGCCACAGACGTCTAGAGCCAGCGTGGCTGGGGCTTGGTTTCCCTGCCCTGCGCTCGGTGGCGCTGCCCGGCTGCAGCAGTTCCAGAGTTTTCCAGGGCGCCGTGGGGAGAATCTTTGGTCCCCAGTACTGTTAACTCAGCAGACCGGAGACAGCAGTTCCTACACAGCAGGGTGGCCGAGAGGGGTCCTGGAGTGTGTCAGACCCTTCCGGTGTCTCCTTCCACAACTGTTTGCTTTGTCTCTTGGGGCAGCCACTATCCCGAGGGCCCCTGGACAGAGCAGCTGTCAGGCCGAAATACAGCCTGCCTTGCCCTGGGGTGGGGAGGGAGGGGACCTGCCCACAGCCCTGCAGCAGAGTAGGGTGCACACCCAGGACAGATGTGCCAGGCTTCCCACGCCCTCCCCAACAGTCCCTCGGCTTCATCCAGAGGGGCTTCCAGGCCGGCCTGTGTCCCCTCCCGCAGGCATCCTGTCCACACCAGCGCCCCCGGTGCCTCACGCAGCTCCTGTGGCAGAGGCAGCTGCCCCTCCTCTGTAAATCGCCTTTAAGCAGCCAGGGCTGGGAAGAGTTTCCTCGGTCCCTGCCTGCTGGTGCCCCAAAGGGCGCTGCGCCCCCGCCCCGCCCCGCATGTGCTGCCCCTCCGCACCCGCCTGCCCACTCTCCACTGGTTATTTCTCTTTCTGGCTCTGCCTCTCCTCCTCCGCTCTCCTCCGGATGCTGCTCTGTGCCCAGGACGGTTCTGAGACTGAACAAGGGCAGGAGTAAGGGAGGCAGGACGTGGGAAAGCCAGGGCCCCTGCCTGCAGGTTAGAAGGAGGGGGGCGTGGACCATCACAGCTGCGGGCACGGGAAGGGCTAGCTGTGCCCTTCACCTGCATCCTGGCCGCCCTGAGCATTCCCCATGTTAGAGGTGGGGACGTCTGCGGGACGCAACCTGGCTGATAGAGCTACAGGGAAGTGCCAGGGCCTGTGTTCTCAACTTCGCCCCCTTCAGGCTGTGTCAGACAGGGACAGACTCAGAAAGAAGACAGAGTTCACCCTCAGAGCTCTCTGCAGTGTAGTGAGCCTGGTTTCTGCAGTCAGGGAGGAGGCAGGGCCGCCAGGCTGACAGCTTCTTGCAAGAGGAGGGGCCCAGCACCAGCTGGGAGGCAGGGGTTAGGACAGGCCCATGTGGAGGCTGGGCAGGAAGAGCCTGCTGAGGTCACACAGCTGTTGGTGGCTGGGCCAGGGTGGCTTCTTCCTTTAAGGATGCTAGGGTGGCTCTCACCACCGGCCCCTCTCTCTGCCAGGCCTGCCGACTCGGGCCAGCTGGAGCAGGAGTAGAAAAAGGGAAAGGCAGGGCTGGGTGTGGTCGCGTTTTCTTAACTCTGCTTCTGTCTTGCTTTCCCCTCCCCTGGCTTTCCTCTCTGCCTGCTCCTGTCTCCCTGGGGTTTCTGGTGGTGGAAAAGCTCAAGCCTTTGCGAAGCTAATGACCTGCCTCTGTGCGAAGCTTACGGGAGGCTGGACCTCGACACAGACTCTGCTGATGGCCTCTCGGCCCCTCTGCTGGCGTCCCCGGAGCCCAGTGCTGGCCCCCTGCAGGCGGCAGCCCCTGCCCATTCCCATGCCGGCGGCCCGGGCCCCACTGAGCATGCCTGAGCCTCTGGGGCCACCCCTCATTGTCAGGAACAGAACCAGAGGTCGCCCTCTGGATGCTGCCACAGCCTTGCTTCTTTCAGCCTAGGTTCCCATTTGGGGACTTCAGGACACCAGAGCCTCTGGGACTTCCTTGCGAAGCTCGGTAGCCCAGGGCCGGTCCAGCCAGGACGGTTGGGAAAGTGGTTTCCTAGCCATTTCTGAACAGCCCATCATTCCCTGAGTCATCATCTCTTTTTGCTGTCTTCCTGGCCGGCCAGGTAGAAGAAGGTTTTCAACATAGGTCTGTCCTGCTGGGGACCTCAGCAGTGGGGCAGGAGGGTGCCTGATATGGGGGAGCCCCAACTCGAGCCTGTTGTTAGAGTTGGGAGGGGCTCCGAGCAGACGGTGTTGGGCAGGCCGGGTTTCTTGTGCGGAGCCCCACCTGCTGCTGCTTGCCCTGAGCTGCACATGTTCGCGCCCTGGCTGAGTGTTACGGCAGGGCCGTATGAGAGGGGTTGCCCCGACATATGGAAGCTACGTGTGACTTATTCCTAACTCTGCCTCTGGAATGAGACTTGATTAAAACACCGCCACCCTTTTGCATTGCTCCTCTTTCTTCCTCCTTCCTCGTGAGTCCAGAACCACGCTCAGTCTCCCAGCAGCTGTCCGAGCAGCAGCTCCTCAGCTCTGCCAGGACAGCCTGGCCCGAGGTCACCCTCTCCCCACCGGCACCTAGTAGGTCCCCAGTATTCAGTGAATGGACCTGCCGCATCATGCCACATCCAGGCACCAGTGCCTGTGATGGCATCTCATCCTCACTGCAACCCGAGCCGGTGCTCCTGGTGCCAGCAGTTCAGAGAGGAGAGAATATGGACTTAGAAGGGATGAGGTGTACCTGTGGCCACAGAGATAGGAAGTGAAGTGGCAGAACCCTCATGGAACTCTAGATCCGGTGTCTCTTGGTGCCAGGCTCACCTTAGAAATGCCGAAATCACAGCACTGGGCAGGAAGTGTGGGGGGCACACCTGCCCCTAACTCCTGCACCCCCCAGTTCCTCCACTGCCATCCCTGTGCTTCATCTTCTCACGGGGGAGACCATCATCTTCCCCGATGTATGGATGAGGTGACAGCCCAGGGATGTCCTTGTGGACAGGCAAGGACACAGCTGACCCGTCACCACCTGGACCAGAAGACCCCGCAGCCAAGCAGAAGGCACCAGACGGACAGGAGCCTGAGGCCCAGCCCCAACTCTGGGCCTGGCTTCTGGGGTGTCCTAGGGAAGTTGCTCCCCCTCTGAGGGAGAATTTCCCCATTGAGAAGTCTGGTGATCTCTTCCTGCACTGTTTTAGTTGTGGAAATGCCTTGTACTTAAACACTAAGGAGCAAAAAGATTACAACCAGATGGAAGCATATACGAAGGGAAGGCCCGGAAGGAGCAGGCCAGACTTTGTGGTGGGATCCCACTTGTCCTGTTCCTGAAAACCTGAGCGATAAGACCTTCTGCCATGAGCTTTTTCTGCTTGGCCAGTACCGTCATTCCCATGTGAAAATAAAGTTGTTTTTCTCCCTTCTTAAAGCCAAGCCGCTCTCCTGACCCTTTTCCTCTCCAGCTCGTGGCCCTTGGGAGCAGAGCTCCACGGGGAAGCAGCTGACATGTCTATCTGCAGTTCTCTCAAGCCTACGTCAGACAGGTTTTGTGTCCACGACTCGAGCAAAACTACACCTATTAGGGTCACCAGCGGCCTCGACGTTGCTAAGCCCTGGCCAATCCCCAGTCTATGCTACTCTTTTAGCCCAAGCTTTTTCTTTTGAGGGAATTTGAACTTACGGAAGCACTTGTCAGTTTGCCTCTGAGCACGTTCTCCTACTGTCATCACAACCCAAATGAATGATGCCATGTCCTCTGGTATCTGGCCATAGTTAGATTTCTTCTGTTGTTCTGAAAGTCGTTTTTTTATGCCTGTTTTTATTTTGCATTGTATTTCGTTGTTATTTTGGATAGTCTTAAAATCTAAAACGACCAGGCCAGGTGGAGTGGCTCACGCCTGTAATCCCAACACTTTCGGAGGGCAAGGTGGGGGATCACTTGAGGTCAGGAGTTCGAGACCAGCCTGGGCAATATGGTAAAACCCCGTCTCTACTAAAAAAATACAGAAATTACCCAGGTGTGGTGGCACACACCGGTAGTCCCACTACTCAAGAGGCTGAGGCAGGAGAATCGCTTGAACCCGGGAGGTGGAAGTTGCAGTGAGCCAAGATCACATCACTGCACTCCATCCTGGGCAAAAGAGTGAGACTCCCCGTCTCAAAAAATAAAAACAGGATCAGAGTGGTGGTGAGATGGGAGTGGGTTTATTTGGGTTCTCAAGGTGCTCTGAATGCACAGCTGACAGGATTTGCTGAAGTGGTGGATGTGGGTGTAAGAAAGGAGTCAGTGGTTTCAGAGTCTGACCCAAGCACCTGAAAGGATGGAGCTGCTTTAACTGAAAAGAAAGACTTGGGATGAGAGGAAGAGACGGGGCTTAGGGGATCAGATACCCATTCTGAACTCAGTAGGTGATGGGGTTAAGATGCCCAGCAGTACAGGGCAGTCATCTGCAGGGTCACGCCCACCCTCCATGAAGCATCACCTCTAGGCTGGTCTGAATGGCAGTGGGATGTCAGAATTTACTAACCTTAATGTCACTCTAGTTGGCATACAACCGGCCCCCACTGCTAAATTTGACTGGCTATTTTAAAAGTGAAAAAAAAAATTATATTTTTTTGAGACAGAATGCAGTGGCATGATCTTGGCTCACTGTAACCAGCCCCTCCCGGGTTCAAGCGATCCTCTCTTTTTTTTTTTGAGACGGAGTTTCGCTCTTGTTACCCAGGCTGGAGTGCAATGGCGCGATCTCGGCTCACCGCAACCTCCGCCTCCTGGGTTCAGGCAATTCTCCTGCCTCAGCCTCCTAGGTAGCTGGGATTACAAGCACGTGCCACCATGCCCAGCTAATTTTTTGTATTTTTAGTAGAGACGGGGTTTCACCATGTTGACCAGGATGGTCTTGATCTCTTGACCTCGTATTCCACCCGTCTCAGCCTCCCAAAGTGCTGGGATTACAGGCGTGAGCCACCGCGCCCGGCCAAGCGATCCTCTCTAAGCCTCCTGAGTACTTGGGACACAGGGGCAGGCCCCCACGTTCAGCTAATTTTAAAATTTTTTTGTAGGAATAGGGTCTCACTGTGTTGCCCAGGCTGGTCTCCATCTCGGGCTCAAGTAATCCTGCCTTGGCCTCCCAAAGTGCTGGAATTACAGGCCTGAGCCACTGTGCCCCGCCCAAAACAATTTGTTTTTTTCTTTTCTTTTTTTTTTTTTTTTTTGAGACGGAGTTTCGCTCTTGTTACCCAGGCTGGAGTGCAATGGCGCGATCTCGGCTCACCGCAACCTCCGCCTCCTGGGTTCAGGCAATTCTCCTGCCTCAACCTCCTGAGTAGCTGGGATTACACGCACGCGCCACCATGCCCAGCTAATTTTTTGTATTTTTAGTAGAGACGGGGTTTCACCATGTTGAGGATGGTCTCGATCTCTTGACCTCGTGATCCACCCGCCTCGGCCTCCCAAAGTGCTGGGATTACAGGCGTGAGCCAATGCGCCTGGCCCCAAAACCATTTTTTAACTGGCCTCATGGAAGAAGTTAGGGAAAGGAAGTTTAGTTCTTACTGTTTCTAATATACATATATTAGCAGCCACCTTTTCAATTGTAATTTAAGACTTCCAAGTTCTCCCTTCACCAACAGGGTTGCCCTGGAAGGGGCTCTGGGTCCTTAACGAGCCTGTAATTTTCCTGTGCAGGAATTGGGGTATGGGGGGTCCCAAGCCTCAGGCCATGACTTCTCTTTTCTCCTGCCCCAGGTGAGTTCTTATAAAGGCCTGGTCCTGTGATAAAAATAGTGGTGTGTAGTAATATTTTTCTGAGCAAAACATTGCCCAGGGTCTTCCTTGAACAGGCTGGCTCCCTCCCAGCCAACCCTTCTCCCTTTCCCCTGGGGCTTTCCCGGCCGCTCCCCTCACCTGACGGTCCCACGCTCGCCCGGCTTATCAGTTACCTATAGGGCAGACACTGGCCGAGAACACCTGTGTGTGACACACGGCTTGTGTCCGGTGGGACTGAACCTAAGGCCTGCCACGTGTCAGGCGTTCAGTCCGCGTCCGCCGGAGACCTGAGGCCCCTTAAGGAATGAATGAATATACTGGCGGTCATTCATTTATTTCGCCCCTACTGCAGCGCGCCTGCTGTGCCAGGGGTGGGGGTGAGGGGGGCGCAGGGACACGTGAGGGGCCCAAGAGGTGGAGGCCCCGAGGCCGGAAATCGGGGTCTCGGGCTGCAGCGACTCCGGGCGGAGGTCGGCTGCCCTCGGCCCACAATGCTGTGCGCCCGCCCCGCGCGCCGCTTCCGGAGGAGCCAGGCCTGACTAATCGAGCGCGCGGGCTGGCGGCTCGGCGCTCGTCTGGCGGCGCCTGCACGTGCGGTGGTTTCCGGCGGGGGTGGGGAGGGTGGCCGCCGCCGCGGGTACGGTGTGAGTCGCGGACTGCCCGGACCTCCGCGATGGCCTCGCTGCTCGCCAAGGACACCTACCTGCAGAGCCTGGCCAGGAAGATCTGCGCCCGGCCGGGCCCGCAGCCGCAGGCGCGCACGCGGGGTAATGCGCAGGGCCGGGACTCGGGGGGGCTGCGAAGGGGGGACGCGGCCGCGGTCCGTGTAGTCGGGTCTGTGAAGTACTAGAAAAAAATCTCCGTGACATGTGAAACTACCGCCATTTTCTTTTCTTTTTTTTTTTTTTTCTTTTTTTGAGACAGAATCTCGCTCTGCCGCCCAGGCTGGAGTGTAGTGGCGCGATCTGGGCTCATTGCAGCCTCCGACTCCCGGGTTCAAGCAATTCTGCCTCAGCCTCCCGAGTAGCTGGGAATACAGGCGCACTCCACCACGCCTGGCTGATTTTTGTATTTTTAGTGGAGACGGGGTTTCGCCTTGTTGCCCAGGCTGGTCTCGAACTTCTGGACTCGAGTGATCCGCCCCCCTCGACCTCCGCTCAGTGTCTCTGGCCCCTAGTCCTGATCCTCTTTCTGCCTCCTACTGGGATCAAGGCCTTGGTGAGCCTTTCTTGCCTGTTGAATGTGCCACAGGATTGTGACAGCGACTCTTTCGCATTTTACATTTTAGCTGGCAAAACTCAAGGCCCAGAAACTGCAGGGCCCCCGAAAAAGAAAAGGAAGAAAACACAAAAGAAATTCCGGGAGCGAGAAGAAAAGGCTGCCGAGCGCAAGGCCAAGTCCTTGGGGGAGAAGTCGCCCGCAGCCTCTGGGGCCAGGAAGCCTGAGGCCGACCAAGGGGAAGCAGTTTCAGCTTCCAGCTCAGCACAGACCCCCGCAGGTGAGAGGCTTCAGGCCGTGTTGGTTCTGTGCAGGGCAGGGCTGGCTTGGGCTTGGTCCCCTCTGCTCTTAAAAAAAAAAAAAAAAAAAAAAAAAAAGCAGCCGGAGGCCCACAGGGATAGGAGGAGATTTCCCCAAGAGAAGCTCACAGGCGCACTAGCGTGGATGGGACCGAAGGAACTGCATGGTGTTCCA